GGAAATTAATAACTGTTGATATCGGTTGGTTAATTTGTCCTTTTTATGTCTAATTTATTTTTTTATGGGTTTGTTTACATTACCGAGGCGAATTGTTGAAGTGACTCGACAAAACGAAACCAGAAAAAGTGGGATACAAGGATTGACGGGTATGATGTTTTTTGTGAATTTACGTTTAACTCTATATTCTCGGAGACCATCGACGATTTGATGGAGTTGAGTTTGTTGAAGATCAAGACAGCTATTAGTGTTGCGCTGACCTTGTTGAAACTTATATTCGAGTCAAAACGTAAACGATGTAAACCATACGTTTACATTAACGTACCTTTTTAACCATATACGTCAAATTTTCTGTAAAGTAACCGATGTGTAATACCTGTTTATAGTTTTTGAAAATGCAGAAGACACAGATTTTTATCGTAAATATTCGTTCCACCTGTGTTTATTTTACGATTTGTGAATTTTTATTATTGGACTAGTTACTCGTTGTCTATTGTTTTAACATGATGTTTATAAGTTTTTAAGTTGTAGTAAGTTACTGTGTTTTGTGTCGACACCCTACGGTCCATTCTAACACAACTCTTACGTTCCTTTTATTTTTGTCAAAGTTACCAACCAAAAAGGTATAACGAAAGTAGGTGAAGAATACATGTTTTTCCAAAAAAATCGAGTGTTGGTGGTTCACGTACTGTTTCTCCCCTTTGTTGTTCGTAGACGTTTTGCGTGTTGTGTTTGCGAAAGTAGTGTTCAGAAAGCGTGAGTATTGTCAATGAACACAGATACACCGCCTTATTGCGAACGGCTAAAAGAGGATTTTACATGGTATACGTTTTAATAAAAGGTGGACTACAAATTCGCTGGTGTTTCGAAATTCCTCAATTTAAAGGTCCCATGACATGGCCATTTCTACTGATCATAATTCCATTGTTGAGGTCTACTAGAATAGATTTACATTGTTCAATGTTCCAAACTCTCATTGGTTTCTCATAGAGCATCTCTGTATAGTATGTGTATTCACTCTCTGTCCTAAACAGCTTGTTGGAGCTCCTGCCCCCCCCCTCCCTATGAGCCCACTGTGCTCTGATTGGTCAGCTCGCCCACTCTGTTACAGCGGAACATCAGTGATTATATGTTACAATGGCGTTAGCAACCAGAAAACTACACCAGTAATGACAAACAGATGAGAATGCTGCGCGGCTCGCTGCTGTGAGGAGCGGACAGTGTGAGCTGGATTACTGGTGTTGTTTCCTGGTTGCTGCGTGGGGTGAAACTCAGCCTGAAATCAGCCTGAGCACCATGGACGCGGGAAGGCGGGGTGCTGAGGGAGCTGCAGTACCCCCATCTACGAGGCCCATTAGCACCCGAATATTTGAATAACTTTGAATATGAAAACATCAGTCAAATCAAAACCTCAAACTCACAAAGATTGGCAAGAGTGCGCACACCTATCACCCTCATGCAAATACACACATGTTCTCCTTGCACACATTTACATGAGATACTTAACAGCAGTGTGTCAGTGTGTGTGGAGAAACATGGATCCTCCTACATGTATATCTATAAGCAGGAAAATGATCAGCGGGATCTCGCTCATGCTGCTACCTCTGGCTTCAAACGGCTGAGCTCAGCGATGGTTCTCTGTTTACTGGAGCTGGAGTGTGCAGGCGTATTAAAGCCTTTATCTGACTGAGAGTGAGGATAACAAAGCAAGTGTGTTCTCAGGGAAGGAGAAGGGAGGTGGGTTTGTTTTCAGACCTGCTGATTGGATAGTAATATGGATGAGGGCTGTGAGCGGGATAAAAGGTTAACTGTATGTTAAATAAGTCACTCACCTGCAGACTGTAGAGTAACTGGGTCAGGCTCTGGACACTTAGAGCAACCTGTTCATGGAAAGAGAAAATCAAAATACCACATGTATATTAACCGGCAGTGTTTTAATGCAGGACTTAATAATGAGCTTTACAATCTACTCATCTCCTCAGATTGTTCCACTCATGCCCATTTTAAACCTAATTCCTGCAACATGTGCGCCCCCTTGAGGCCACCTGTTGTCCCCTCACACTGTTTTGGATTAAATTAACGCTCTGCAGTCGACAATAAAATGATTCTCACTTCTCAGAGCACTTCTTTTACCTCACAGGTCACAAAAAGCTGCAAACGGAAGCACAACTGCGGCATAGTAATTGGAATAAGTATTCATATTCATTTTTAATGCCGAATGCCTCAAGGAACTAAATGGACTTCTTCCTTTATTATGAGTTTATCAATAATGTATCACATTAAGACTGAAATGCAGTTCTAATAGACCGTACTGAATTATTAAAACAACTGTTGGCAATCTTGAGCCACACATCTGTGGAGAAATGGAAAGCGCTGAGGTTCAGATGCAGGCTATAATGACCTGTAATACTGCTGTAGCTACAGTGAAAAACATTACATCATATTGCTCTATTAACTAATAAATCCACAACCTTTAGATGTTTTACAAGGAGGTCATACAACAATCGCTGTACGCTACATGATGTTATATATATCAGCAGCAGTAGAACTACTAATAATAACTTAAAAAATAAAATGTGAAATACTACAGTGAATGAACACTCTGGTAAAGTAAAGGCCTTGCATTTAAATATAGTTAAAACTTAACATATCTATCAAGATATACTTTGAACACCAACATTAAAAGTGCTTATTATAAAGAATTTCAGTATAATATATATTATGGGATAATACATATTGATGCTTTAATGTGATTATCATTTTAATATTGCAGCTTATGAAGATGGAGCTGCCTGTAATTGCTGCATGGGTTGACTCATTTATACATTACATCATAAGTTATTAGTTGTCGACTATTGGTTATATTTTATATTTATCAAAATCTTTCCAAAGTAACATGTAACTACATCTGTCGAATCAACGTATTGTAGGAAAACATTTAATTTCTCCCTCTGAAAGGTAGTGCTTAAGAAGTATAAAGAAGTACAAGATTGATATGCTTCAGTTAATAACAAGTACCTGAAATTTTACTTAAACAAATGTATTTTTTTCACATTCCACCACACCAGTTTGTACCTTGAAGTCGATGTCATTGCCATCTGGTTTTGGCAGCCCACATGGGGCCTGCAGCAGGAAGCCGCCGGTCCAGCTCCCCTCTCCGGCCCCCGGGGTCTTAGGTGAGGCCTCAGAGTCTGATGGGGGGGGGGCAGGAGCTGCCGGGCTGACAGGAAACACTGAGTCTGTGTCAGAGTCCGGGCTTGGGCTGGATGGAGAGCAGGCCTTAGAGGACAGCGTGGCTTTCAGGTTCTTAGCTGGGACACAAAAAACAACAACAACTGAGTGCACTGCTCATCGATTAAAACTATTAAATATGAGACCGGGTTCTCCTGGAAGAACATAACATTATACTGCGGTCCTTTAAAATGGATCATGATGGCAAGAGACTGAAAAAGAAATAATTGAATATTTGGAATAAAATTTAATTTCTCTTTTGTTACAATATATCTGAGCAAAATCCAAGATACATTTAAGCCACGGGATGAATGACTCTTTAAGAAAACCTCTAATCAACAATGATGGGTTGCATGACCTTCATTTTAAAGATAACTACCAGAAAAATGAATACAACATGAATAAACATTAAGTTAATTATTAAAGAAATAATGAGGTCACATTTCTTTATTTGATGGAAATATTATTGCCACTGTCAATTGACACTTTATGCCCCACACCAATACAAATGTTTAAGCAGTACATGAACATGTATTGGTTTATAACACATCATTATGTAGTTTTGAATACATATTAGTTTTATTATAAGTTCTATAGTTTTAAATTATAAGTATCATATTATTACCGATGTGTTTTACTACTTTGTCATTAGTTATCTGTTCATAACCCAGCCTCCACTTATGGGTAAGCAAAGGAGGAGTGATAGTTGCTGATATTAAAGTATTTCTTAATAATGTAGAAGACATTATTATTTATGAAAAATACTATACATTAGTAACAACTTAAATATGTCCCTTTATCTGCCTACAAATACATAATAATTGGATTTAAACTATTTGAAAATGTTTATAAAAGGGGTCAAAATAAGTGTATCTAAGATTTTTCTCACTTTTTTGTCCAGTGTTGTTACAAACCAAACAGAGGTGCTGTGTATGTGTGTTTGTTCCTGCAGGGTACAGTAAACTTCTCACCCTCTTGCAGAGCTGCAGCCAGCAGCAGGGCGGCCTGCGGAGGCTCCTCAGAGAGGGGCTGGACGAGGAGCCGGGGGTCCAGCAGCGAGGCGCCCCCCCGCCCCCGCAGAGCGGAGAGCGCTGCGTACAGCTGCAGCTTCTCCTCCAGGCTGCCGCAGATCCGCTGGTCCTGGCTCAGCAGACTCTCTGAAACACAGGGTCGGATGGTGAAATGTTGACTCAGGGGGTAAACAAATATGAAGGAAAGGGAAGAACAACAAAACAAAAGTATAAAAAAGACCTTGTAACTTATGGATCTTCTGAATACGAGCCTCGGCAGCTCGCTTCTCCTCTTCAGATCCACTTGTGTATTCTTCTTCTTCCTCAGGACAGCTAAGCACAGAACAACAACATGTTTTCACAAATGCTGGGAAATGTAGCCTTCAATATTCTCCTCTTGGTATTTCAACATGTATATTTTCTATACATTTTTTTTATTGCTGTTTTATTTCTATTTTGAGATGTTTACATTTTTGAATTGTTTATTTCTACTCTTAATTCCATTATGTGCAATGCCTCGTCTTTTATGCTTTTCCCAAATTGGGATCATTAAAGTATCTCAACTCATCATCTAATCTCTCGTTCTAAGTGTTCATTTGTACACACATGTAAAACAGTGTTACACACCTCTCCACAGCCTCCCTGATGAGCCTCATCCAGGTGTTTCTCTCCTCTTTGGATGACGTGTGGACCTCGTACATCTCCGGCCCGGCGGCTGAGGCGCTGATCAGGAACATTCCTCTCTCTTCATTTGCTACCTCTCGCACTATTAACTTCTGCAGTGCGATGACTGGAGGCTTCTGATCCTGAAGCACATGAAAAATGGAGATGAACATTTTTCCAGGAAGTGTTAATGGCCCAAGATAAAATACAACAGGTAATATGGTGTGAAATGATAACAGACACACAGCCGAGTTTTGGCTCTTCGAGATCAGACATAATGAATGTGTACATACCACTGCGGCAAATGTATACTTCTGGTCTTTTTCTTGCAAGAATATCAGTGTATCTGTGAGTAGGAGAGCCAAGACATCTATAGAAGGGAAAAAGCAGGAAAATGTCAGGAGTTTGATCATTTACTTACATAATGTGAATGCATCTAAACAATGCAAACAACAAATGAAAGGGATAGTTTGGGTGTTTGAAGTGGGGTTGTATGAGGTACTAATGAACAATCTGTGTAATAACTGCGGTAAATGTCGGTCGGTGTAGAAGCAGACAGTTTTATAATGCAGGCTGAGCAGCAAACTGCTGTGGACCGGGGCAGCATGAACAAATATTTTGGCCACCTCAAAGACAGGCTTACCAAAACAAATCAATATCAGTTTAAGTGTACTCTTTATTTAGAATATTTCACCACTTTAAATTGTAAGCAGACAGCCCTTTTCAGCGGGGGAAGCCGCCATATCCATCTATTCTCTCGGCAAAGCCGAAGAATACTAAACTGTTACTTTTAAATGCAGTCCGCTGGCCTTGGAATGAGGATGGATGACAACTTCGATCCCTTTCATAGACAGACTGTATACCTGTTATACGGCAATATAAAGCAGCAAATATTATGTGATAAAGCATTGATTAAACTGATGTTGATTCTTATATCAATGTGTTTCCTTAGGTGGCTAAAATCCTTTTGACTGCTGCCTCTTTCACTGCAGTACATCGCTTTGATTCAGTTCGATAATGCCATTTACTATAGGTATCACACGGAATTTCATACAACACACTTCAAAACATAGATGGATAGATACACATTACCCCAAATGATTTGGCATAGCAGCATATAGGCAGTCAATCTACAATCTAGAGAATAAACATATTCTCAGTAATACATACATATATTTAGAGGAGTATCTAAAGTTTAGACACTCCTCTAAATATAGGTATTTTCAGATTCTAAACATTTTACAATACAGAATAAAATAGAATACGCTCGAATATACCAATCTACTATAAACAGGGTGTATTACATGCATACATACATTTGTTTTGCTTAAAACTAAAAGTAAAATATGTCCTGTGAGGAAGTGTAAGTAGGCTGTAATATGTAAGTACAGTATGTGCAAATTGCTCATGCATCCCAACTTTCCCTTTAATTGAACAACAGGNGGGGAAGCCGCCATATCCATCTATTCTCTCGGCAAAGCCGAAGAATACTAAACTGTTACTTTTAAATGCAGTCCGCTGGCCTTGGAATGAGGATGGATAACAACTTCAATCCCTTTCATAGACAGACTGTATACCTGTTATACGGCAATATAAAGCAGCAAATATGATGTGATAAAGCATTGATTAAACTGATGTTGATTCTTATATCAATGTGTTTCCTTAGGTGGCTAAAATCCTTTTGACTGCTGCCTCTTTCACTGCAGTACATCGCTTTGATTCAGTTCGATAATGCCATTTACTATAGGTATCACACTATAGGTATCACACTAAAAGTAAAATATATCCTGTGAGGAAGTGTAAGTAGGCTGTAATAAGTAAGTACAGTATGTGCAAATTGCTCATGCATCCCAACTTTCCCTTTAATTGAACAACAGGGCAGTGTCACCTTTCAGCCGCCCGGTGGCCGTCTTCCACAGCAGCAGGCCCTGGTGTTTGAGCATCTGTCCGGGCTTCATCATGTCCTGCTTGCGGAAAGTGTGTCCGTTCTTCAGTTTGGCTGCGCTGCGGTTCTCCGTGCGGTTCCACACCTCCTGCAGCCGCTGGTGCTGCTCGTACTCACTGACGCTCAGGTTCACGGCTGCTATCACCTCTCGGATCTGAGCCAGGGCTCTGGAGAGGTCGGCATGCTCCTCTGTTCCCTCTGAGGGGACGGAGGACAAATACAGGATCACCAAATGTTATATTGTGTATTCAAATATTGTAAAATGGGCTGTAAATGGACCATACAAAGATGTAGCCAGCAGAGGGCAGTATATAACTGACCTTGAGTGTATTGTAGGATCCTCTCCAGCAGCACCGGGTACTTTGTTATTCTTTGGGTGACAAGCAAGATGCATTCTGGGATCTCCCGCCGCCTCACCAAGGAATTATTACCTTGTTGCTTTAAAAGGAAAAATCAAGAGTTATGCAACATTTCCCTCAGCAGAAGGGTAGTGGTGCTTTTGTTGCAGAATGATATATAACATAAAATCAATAAAATCGTTATAAATAAAAAAAGGATCAAAGAAAGAAGATATGGGAACTTTTGTATTTCTCTAAAAATGTGTCTGTAAAACACGCAGCATAATCAACAGGTTTTAGCTTCTCACCTTTTCACTTTAATATTTGATTTTCAAAAAGGCTTGAATAGATTTTAAACCTATTTGACATTATTGTTTCTCTTTTAGGGCTGAGCGATGGTTGAGCATATATGGTCTATTGCTTTTACTGTGGACTTGTTGGTGTCCACAGGTCTAAAACACTGGACATACACATTTTTCATAAATTAAGCTGAAGATACATTTGTACAGTAAAATACAAAAAAGATCTGAGAAGGTTTCATACCTTAATGAAGTTCTGAAATCTCTTGTTATGCTGCTGGAGCTCTTTGAAAAAGCTGACTGCTTCGTTGTGATGGCTGCAGAATTCTCCATACACCTGCTTCATATTCACGCTGTTCTCATCTGAAAACTGCAGAAAGATAAACACTCAGTTATTCACATCCTAACTCATTTCTATTGTACCTAAGGTAATATACCCCAGAAGAAGAGCTGACCTGTTGGAGCAGGACGTCCCCTACTCTCTGGATGAGGTAGTTGCTGTGTCCCTGGGGTTGGGCGGAGCTCTGTCTCCGCTCCTTCATGGCAGAGAAGAAGGCATGATGGAGGAGCAGCAGCTGATCCAGGCAGGGGAAGACCCGGTCCAGCGCCTCCGCGTCCAGCTGCACCTCCTCCCTCATGCCTCGCCGGAACACCTCGGCCATGATGTGCAGCGTCTGCAGGTGGTGCAGCTCCGTCTGCATCAGCTCTGCAGGCAAACAAGGAGATGTGTGTGTCACATACAAACATGAAATATGTCCCTTTGCGAAATCTTAAATCTGTCACTAAATCATATCAACCAATTGTCAGCGTTGCTAATTGAGTGTATTTACTTAAGAGCTGTACGGTAAAATGTTGAGGTACTTGTGTATGTTTATTTTCTGCCACTTATTTTTGGCAAATATTGTACTTTTTGTATTTAACACTTGAAGTTAGCAGTTATTTTTTACAGACATAACACGATGTGATGTGAATACCATTCATTTATTCAGCAGCACTCAGTGTCTAAAATGTGCCCCAAATTGACATATTACATCAATAAAAAAACTCTTACTGTATATATGCAAGCACTTTTATTTTGTATACTTTAAGTACATTTTGCTGATAATACTTTTGTCCTAAAGTTTAGGTATCTTTTTAAACTCAGGATGTGGTATTATTACTTTTACTTAAGTAAAGAAGCTACTTTTTGCAATCACTGCCAATTAAATGTGTTTACAGCAATCTTGAATATGACATTCTGACACTGACAGAAAATGACACATTCCAGTGGTTTTCCTTCTGCTCACCAAAGATGACATCCTGCCTCTTCACGGCTCGTTTCTCCTGCTTCTTGCAGAACTTGTGCTCCACAGTAAGACTCCACGACTCCGCCTCGTAATCCACAGCATCAGCCGAGATGTCGTCATGGATACACGCATCCACGCAGTCTAGGGAGAAAAAGACATCTTATCAAAACTGAAAGGTATTGCATTTCTATAATCACAACATTAACTTCCATCTTAATCTACTTCTTTAGCCCAGGGGCTAATTATATGTGTGTTAACACATCTCAGTCCTGGTGACAAATCCTTTCTTCATTATTAACAAATAAAATATTCATATAGTTGTATCGTGATTTAAGGTAATCATAAAAGGCATTTCTCCCTCCACAAACAGAAAAACTCAGTTAAAGTACATTTATTTTACATATAAATACAATCATTTACATATTTATGTTGTTTTTAAGTGCTGGTTGAATAATCAGACAACAGGTTTTTATCCACCTTTTTAATAATGAAACATTGACATCCTGTTTTTATTTGTTGATCAGGAAACACACACCTGTCATCAGCATTGAGACTAATTTCTAAGAAAGTATCCATGTTACTGATTAAAAAATACATATTTTGTATATTAAAAAAATTAAAATCACTAAAAAAAAATCTGATAAACAAACCGTAATAACATATGTGTAAAAAATGTATGCAGCCAATCAGTTTTTCAACTATTTCCAATGGGAAACACGACAACATGTTTGTGCATGAGGACATACATTCCATGTAAAAACAATGTCCTTTATAGGAAACTGAAAACAATGAGCCTCATTCATCACATACCTTCTCCAAAGGATGAGTCAGTGGAGGTGGACGACACTGGAGTCTGCAGCAGCTCCTCTGATTGGCTGTTCGCCTTCCAGCCGTCACACTCTGTCTCTGAACCCTCACTGAGCCGACTGAGGAAAACACGGACAACCAATATTACCCTCAAATTGTCACCAATAACTCCACATTATAATAATTATATAATTCATAATGTCTGAGAGCTTAATGACCTGTCACTGTTTGTGAAAGACCCAGAGAGAAGGCATGACTCTGCAGTTTCCTTCATGACAGGTAGAGAGGTAGAGACGGGGACACACAGAGGAGGACTGTCTCTCACTGTGAAATCTGTGGGCAAAAGAAAATAGATAACAATAATCATCCCCAGAATGAAATGATACAAACAGGAAATGTCACAAACAACACCCTTGTGACCCTCGTGTTGTAAACTCACTCTGTGGGAGGGATGCTGTCTTGTTCTTCACCGTGGTAACAGCATACTTATCCTGAAGTTTCTAAGTAATACAAATGAGAGAGGCCGGTAACAGAGTATAAACAATTGACACAAGGACAGACTGCAGTAGATAAAGCAGTTCAAACCACTTTCTAACAAATACATTTCAACACAATATTCACCTTTAAACACGGGGGGACAGAATCCTTACAGCCCTTATGGACGATAGCAGTGCAACCTGGGAAAGAAATACAAACATTTGAGATAATCTATGTGGTTTGTAGGGCTGTGTTTCTTAGTCAAATAAGATTTAGAAAAATAATCAATAGTGGATTTCATTGACAAATCTGTTAAATTAATTTCTCCATAATAAATCATGCAAAAGCAAAACTTCCCCAGAGATATGCTCATAATTAACCTGGAAATAAGTCCCTCAGCATGAAAACAGCTTCCAAAATTACTAATCCACAGATATCTTAATCAAATCGAAACCAAAACAACCAATCCAAGGAGAGGGAAACCATGGTGGGTTTTGCAAAGATAGAATATACACTTTTACTCACTGGAGCAATGCAGCAGGTCCTTTCCAGAAGCTGGTTTGTCACACACCACGCACATGTTGGGGCCCAAACAGGAGCCTGTGTTGAACCGATGTCCATTTGGCTGCCGGTCCTTGGCCTCCCTGTCCTTCCCCTTCCCCTTTGAAAACCATGCCGGAGACATGAGTAAACAAAGAGGCTAGACAGACAGAGAAACAGTGACAGCTCCGAGCCTTAACTCATATTTCTCTAAACCAGGGTGAGTTTGTATTTGCAGAGTAAACTCTTCCACATGTAGGTAGATACATGAGCCGGGACGGAATCCCCGCCTTTTGCCAAAGTGTAAGAAAGTCCACCGACAAGGAAATGGAGCGTAGCATAAACAACAGATGCAGGTCGAGGGGGGGGGGCTTCCGGTCTCTGTGCTGACTCAACAACAGGGGATTAATCATTGAAAGGAAGGAGGCTGGAAACCATGTTTGGTCTGTCGCTGTGACCTTGGGTTATTCCCAGAAAACATTTCCTGGTTGTGTCTCCCAGAGTGTCCCATATTTTAAACCTGTGTCCAGACCTGGACTACTAGCCTTCACAACTGTTTTATAATGGTCATTATCTGTAAATTATCCATACCTTTATTAAATAAATAAATATATATATATATATTGTAATATATAGAAACACAATTGCTGCAGAGGAGCACAAACGTCAATAAAAGCAAAACACATTTTATTTTGAGGCTAATAAACAAAGCTGAGAGTCTAATGTAGCATGTAAAGCTGGCTTGTATGTACTGGAAGAGGACGTTTTGTTATGTTATTCCTGATACTCTATGGAATCTTTGACGGGTGTAACATCAGAGGCGTGGACTGTTTGTGTTTTGGGTTTTACCTTTGTCTTGTTGCGTGTGCTAGACATCCGGCTCTTGAGGAAACTGAAGGTGCGAATGACTTTGTACTTCTCTGATTCCACCTTTGTCGGGATGTTGTACTTATCCAACTCCTCCTCTTCAATTCTGAAGAAAAAATGAAATAATGTGAGTGCAATTTGTTATCTATCACAAGGGTATATAACCAACAACAGTATAAACATCTTGGTTGTTTTGCAGACATGAGGTAAGTGAGAAAGTCTCGGCATCCTGTTTTCCTCCTGCTGAGTCTACAGGACAACAAAGGCAAGTTTGGTTAATGCAGGCGCAGGCACAGTGAGAAAAGTGTATGTATTCTTATATGCTTATAGCACAAAAGCATATAGCAGGTTAGTTCATACTGCAACATCCTGCCATGAAATGATAAACAGGTCATCCAGGGTGTACTTTCTGTTATCATAAATGTTTGATAAAGCAATATTTTAGTCAGTAAAATGTGTCAAAAAAAAGTATTCATTCTCTGCGACTCTGTGCTGTGAAAGAGGAAATGGTTAGGGGCTGGATACATGCAAAACCATAGAGACTTTGGTGCATATTGTTAAAAGACAATAACAACCAAACTTTTGTTGTGCTGTTAGAAGAGAAGAAAGGGGATTAAACAAGGAGAGGAAAGGAAACGGAGAGGAGAGGAAGAAGAGAAGAGGAAACAAGAATATGAAAGAAGGAGGGGAGATGAAAAAAGGAGAGGATAAGAATCAAGGGGAGGAGATGAAACAAGAGAAGAGCGAAAACAAAGAAAGGAGATGGAGCAGTGAGAGTAATAGAAAAAAGAAGACTGGGGGGAAAAAAGGAGATGAGAGGAGAATAAACAAGGACAAGAGGAAACAAGGAGAGGAGATGATATGCAACAGGTAGAGAGGAAGAAAGGAAACAATACAAGGAGAGGAGAGGGTCGTGGGTTAGTTTGCTGGAGGTGGATGGTTAAGGATGCTAGAACAGGGGATCGGGGGTCCACCCCCCCACATACTCTTTGAGGAACTCAGACAGGGTGAGATGTTGGAGGGACTCGGCCAGCTCCATGCTGCCCTCATCGTCAGCAGACTGCGCTCGCTTACGGAACCTAATCTCCCTGTGAAGAGCAGCGCACACACATCCACACACACACACACACACACTGATGAGTTAATACTGATGAGAAGCCACAGCGGTCGAGGGGAAAGGCTACAAAGAGAAAGCAAAGATGTGCTCAGTTGTCACCTGCATATATTTAACACTACATACATACATGTGTTAATGAATATGGCCTCTGCTCCTAAAATATTCTACAGATGTTAGTCATCAAGGGTTAAACTAAAGAAACTTTAACTACGCTGCAAGAATAAATAAAAAGAATGACTTTACTATGGGGGAGTTTAAGTAGATTTTGAAGCATTAAGAAAATGGCAGTCTTGGTCATTGTGATTGCTGGTAAACTTTTCAATGAAATAATTGTATTTTGTATGCATTTTGTTGTATTGCGTATTAACTGGATATTCTATGTATATATAGTGTGACAGTTATAATTGTGTGCATGTATTGTTTCAGTTTGTTGCTGCCTTCTTGTAAGCTCACTGTTCAAAAATTGAATTTAATATCAATGCATATACAGTATACACACATCAAGTACATTCTGTATATTAGCCCTAAATGTGTCTAGTATCCTCCACTAGGGGGAGCCCCTGAAGTGCATTGGTTCAATAGGCATATGTACACATGAAGATAGTAAAGATGGTGAGATCAGTAGGAAAACAAGAGGAGGAAATCCTCTGTTATGTTAGTGCCAACCCTCTTTGGTCTGACAACAACCATCTAAAGCAGCACGGTCACTTGTACACTTACATTGTATACAATTGTTCAAATCATAAACCGTTATTTGCCTGTGCATTGTAGTATACAGTACACTCATTTTGAATTGGGACATCCTTGATGCAGCTGATCATGTCTGAGGCAAGACAGCCATGGAGGAAAAAACAAGAGCATTGTGCATTTCAATAACAAAGCAGGAAGCCACTCAGGGTCACGCTGATATCTGTACTGTACGTCACTAGAAACAGAAACAAACGGGGTCAAAACCACCAGCTCGTAAAGCCTCTGCTCCACAAGGACAAAAGAGCTTTATAAAAGACGGCAGCGAACTTCACAGAGTGCCCGCTGTCACCAAGCAACCCGGTCGTCACGGTTACCAACATAGGTTGCTCCCCACGCTGGGGATAACATATTTGATGAAATTATCTTTGATTTTAATTAAGAGTTAAAGACCTGCTAATGTGAAAAGCTGAGTCATTTTGTAAACACTAAAACTAAAAAGAGAGAAAAAGACACGTGGAATATAAAGTCACAAATAAATAAATAATAAGATTTAATTCAATTAAATAGTAAAGTAAAGAATAAATACCTTTTGTCATGTGACTGCTCTGATATACTGGAGGCTCTTTGCTCTGTGAACATGAACAATGATGAGAAGTTATCAAACTAAAACATTTAAGGGTTCGATGTTTATCCGAAAGAAAAAAAGAACATGACATTCAATATCATAAAAAACAAAGATCTATCATTTTAACCTCAAACTGTTTCAGCGAGTGAATATTTTCTGAAAGTTTAATTTTTGCCAGAGAAGCATTTCGTATGAGAGCATAATAATACATATATATATATAATAACCAATTAAATCACAGCCGATATGCAAGACAACAGATGATCGGGGGTATATGAAATTACATATGAAGCTGCAGCACAGACAGACACAGAGCACAGACCCCTCAGAGATCCCTCGCCAGGCTGCAAAGCAATCAGCTGGCTTTTTATCTCATCACTGCAAAAATAATGGGATTTCTTCTTGCACTCCCACTGCCATTCTGATTACTATAAGGCTGTCTCATGATTAGGGAAGCCATACACACAAACACACATGCAAACACATACATGCATACACACGCCAAGGTTAGTATGTTTTCATGATTCTAATTTACTTTGATTATTGCTTAAAATCCTCATTCTTGTTCAAACTTTTATCTAATTGTGGTTTCACTGTCCATGGTTTTGTACTCAAACTTTTAACCTTAACTTATCTTATACTCAACTTCAATGCAGAATGATGTTGCTGATCAGGTAGTTATATTTGAACCAGACAACAGTTTAAATATAGTCCTTTTTAAAAGGTGCAAAATTGTATTTGGCCACTTGGGAGCAGTGAAAACAAACCCAGAACAAATATTGTCCCCTATTTTAAATTGATATGGCAATCCTGACAGTTGTTTATTTACATGTTTGGCAGTTTCAAAGCAACCTCTACATTAATTTGAGTTAACAAAAAAAAATTGAGATAAAACATATGAATATCTGTAGAGCTGTGGATATTTGCACTGCAAATGTTCTGTCTTCAAATCAAATCAAATGTTTCAAAAATGTAATTCAATCATCAGAATCAGTTAACAATAATAACCTTGACTCACACACACACACACATAAGCACTGACACTGACAGCGGCATGCTGAGCCTTGGCGCAGTGTGACGGCTGCAGGTGTCCAGTACTTACTACCAGGGTGGAGAAGAGACAGAGATTTAGACAGAGAGAGGGCCTGAAGGAGAGATCGGCTGTGGCTGACACTGTGGAGCCCAGCATCTACAGGACACAGTGGACAGAGCTCAGGCATCAACCACAGAGCAGCAGAATATCACCGCATACAGTCAAATCCAGACTGAGAGCTCTAAAATCAATGTGAATTGCACTGGTGGAGGCTCACTGTGAGGATTTGAAAAGTGTTTTTGAATACTTCAAAATCTCGGAAAATGTTTGCTTTCTTGACAAGAGTTGGAGATGAAGATCAATATCACTCTCATATCAGTCAGTCGATTTTCCTGGCTAAGAAATAGTGCATCATATCATCTACAAAATAAACCAACATTTTGGGTTTTTGAATGAATTTAACAAAATAAATATATAACAGGTTTAATTAGCGAGTTTCACACGTGCTGGTAGGCCGATATTTTATCAGCCTATGCTAAGCTAAGGTAAGCTAAGCTAACTTTCTTCTCCTTGTTCATATTAAACAGACAACAAAAAGAAAGTGATATTGATCTTCTTATCTAAATGTCTGCAAGAAACCAAATAGGTGTATTTCCCCAAAATGACACAATATTATTACGGAAGTTGACTGCACTTTTTATTAGTAGTGTGATTATCTGCATTGAACAGCTGGTGAATGTAAAAAAGAGAATGTAAAAAGTTAGCTCTGCACCAACCATTAGTGACACATAACACAAGTAAAGTTAGTTGATGAGAGCATTGTTAGTTAACTTATTTGTTAGACTACTGTACATTTCTGACTGTTTGTTACTGACCGGGGCTGATATCTGATGTGTGGTTGTCCCGCGCAAAACGAGCGGGACGCAAGCTGATTTTGGATGAAGAGTAGGAATACGAACGCGGGCGAATCCCCTGGTCAACCAATTCCTGTGGAAAATAATATTTCAAAACCTAGAAACACAAGACTTCAAACAATGCTAGTCATGAATGATATGAGGGGAACGGGAAATTAGTGTTAGAGAGCCTGATATGGTATTTTACCTTAGTGCTGGGTTCACATGCTGAGGAGGCAGATTGGCTGCGAGTGCATGTAAGGTCATGGGTGGGGCGAGACGCTTCACTTTTCTCTTCACTCTTCTGAACATCTGACAAGAGCGGGGAGAGTGGAGACTTTGGCTCAGTGCTGTCCTCTTCACTGTCCAGCTCCAGAGCCACCAGGCTGGGACTGGAGAAATAAAGAACCAGTTACACAGTCACCTGAAACACTGCCTCTTGATTAGAGAAAATGTTCTACAATGTTTTATACCTGAGGTCGCAGGTTTCCATTGGGGAATTTTCTCTCTCATTGGTCGACTCAGAGGAGGTGGGACTTTTTAGCCTTGCGAGGGCCTGGTCAGCGAGGGAGAGTGGGGGAGAGCAGGGGAGAGAGGGAAGGAAGAATTCTTCTGAATAGGGCGGAGGAGAGTCAGTGGCTGCAAGGAAATCATCCGAGTCCACCGTGTCCCACAACCCGCTGTCCGTCCCCGTGCTGCCCCTCGTCACTCCGCTGACGCTGTACTGAAGGTCTGCATCTTCATCCTGAAGTCAAAATACACAAGTCGGATTAAAGAGTGCAAAAAGAAGAAGAAATGTATTTTTATAAAAGTAGCAGGGGAAGATTCCCAGCTACAGCTCACCCCAAAATCCACAATACTTAGATTGTTTTTGTGTGAGTAGCAGAATGATGGAAATATAAGCCAAAAAGATGTCTGCCTTCTCTCAAATATAATGTAACTGGATAGCACTCAGCTCAAGGTGCTCCAAGTGGCAAGAAAGTAGATTGCCAGCATGTTCTCTTTCCAAGAATCAAGACCCGGTTACTGAAGATAATCAATAGACCTTGTTATGAGCAAAGTAGGAACTATTATCTTTCTACCGAACTACACCCACCAGCTGTATCCCCTTGAGTAACAGGTCATGATTCCTGGAAAGAGACTGATGGCCACAGCCACACAGGGTAAACCAACTACACTGCATCCTCATCTTCAGTAGTTTTGCTTCAGTGCAGCTACAATAAAACATGCTAATTAACACCACATATTTGCTCTAAAATGGTAAACTCTTTATTTGATTGTAATCTGACATTACTTCAAACATTTTAGCACAGCTAACACAAGTATTTGTTTTTATTAATTACTTTCTTTGTCTCTTGAGTTACCATGTCCATTGGGGGAGGTTACTTCCTGGTACAGCAAAGGGTGTGGCCGAGCGCTGAGGACTCATAAATACTGCAAGGAGCCAATTGGGACAGATTGGGACAAACCACCTGCTTCCATGTCAAAGGGGGGATTTGGTTTTTGTCAGTGTCCTTTGTGTATGATGTGACTATTAATTATCCCTTGGGTTCAACGTGGTTTGGCTAAGCCACTATATAGGTTCCTTGGTTTTTCATTGTAGGAGGTCAGTTTGTTGAGTTAACACCTGTTATGTTTCTTTGAGGTATTTTCTGTTGACCTCTTTTATAGGCCTTGTTATTATATGATGCTTTGTGGATTTTTGGGTAAATAAAAACCCTAGTTTATTTAAACTACTCATGTGTCCTGTTGTCTTAATGCTTGGTCCCTGACAGAGACATTTGTTGAGTTTTTCAAATGTAAACATTTTAGTGAATTTATCACCAAAAGCTGGTTTCATTATACTTGAGAAAAAGGCAGACATCTTTAGGGCTGATACCGCTAACAGTCAGCGACTCACACTAAAACAATCTAGGTTGAAAGATAGCAGTGCAGGTATGAGGACAAATAAGTATAGTTTATTTTGGGGTTAACTGTCCATTGAAATGATAAATCTGTGTTTAAAGAGAGAGGGTGATGTATGACCTGTGAGTGTGTGATGATCCGATCGCTGCTGTTCATCATGGAGAGCAGAGGGTCTGCAGCATGCTGCCTGAACTGGCTCTGCATGGGATGCCCATTTACTGTGAAAACAAACAGAACAATCTTCAGTGAAGTTTATATGAAGCCACTTATTACTATTATTCATCCTAACATCAGTTGGTTTAATATAAAAAACAGCTCTCAATGTGCCAGGAGTTACCCAGATTTCCAACCTGTACAACCAAAATACATTACAACCATTTCAATGAAAACTCTCCATCAGATATGCCATCATATATTTCTGTTAACAGTTAGCCTTCTGTCCTGCTTCTTTCTAATGATTTTTGGATCATTGTGCCATAATGTATTGATCTTTCTCCTATGAAATATCAGGGTTGAGTAAAGAAAGGAAAATGTGATACTGCATACCTTCTCCCTGTCTGACCTTTACAGGTTTGTTTTTATAGAAACCTGCACATGTCAACCTTACTGCCAAACTGACCGTTTTCTAGGAAATGGATTATGGACTGGAGCCTTGTTCTCCTTTATAGACCACATCTGGTTAACAGTAATCATGTACACTCTCTCTTTCATATTCATACATTGAATTATAAAAACAGGATGTGGGCAAATGTCTAAATTGGGAACTCTGGGCATGACTACAATTCACATATACAAAATGTTTTTCCTTTTTTTTTATATATATATAGTGGTGTAATATTATAGTTTGTATGATTGCTCCTACCACCATTTTAATTAAAAATAACATGATTTTAATACCTTGGTTAGGTTTTGGGACTCTTTTTGTAGACTGAGAATATAAGACTCTTTGTCTTGTTACTTTTTTAACATGGAAAATCTCACAAAACCTGCCGATATGGAATAAAGGAAGACATATTTATCAAATATTATGAATCAATGTATATTTATAAATGTTTCGATATGACAATTACTTATCCTTCACATTTTTTAAATCTGAACTCCTGTACAGTATTTAGTGTTTATAGAGTAAAAAGCACACTAAATAAGGCTTTTAAATGTGTATAGTGCAGTAACAAGTACAATGTTTCTGTTTAAAATGTAGTTAAAGTACAAACCAACAATAAAGCACAGTCAAAGCACCTTACAAATGTAAGAAACTCAGATAAATAAGTAAAGAATAGGTGCAGTTTACATACTTGTGCAGACTAAAGTGCATGTTAACAAGAGCTGGTAATTCTAAGATAACAATGTGGAAAATGACCTCTCTTGATGAGAAGCCATTTTCAAAGCCCTCTGAGCACTTTCCCCTCAGACTTTGATGTCTGAGCGGCCATGCCCACACTAATGTAAGGGAAATCCTGAGCATCACAGAGGCATTTCCTCTCTGCTCTCACACAGTGAAGACATTAGCTGCAGCTCAAATACACAAGGCAGACTCTCTGTGTTTATTTTACATTCTGTATATGTCTCTGTCTGCATGCTTCCATTTTATTTGCTCAAATCAAACTGTCAGTGTATGCAGCTTCACACTCAGACACAGAAATCTCCCCTCTGTTTCATTTAAAGCATGGTGACGGATTGAAGACTCAGATGGTGGAATGATTGTCACACAGGCACGTTCCAACAACAGCTGAAATTGTTGAAACTAGACGACCATTTCGACAGATCTGGAAAAAACAATAACTCTGGATGACAACTTTATACCACAACCATCGTCAGGCGCTGTCATGGCAACAAAAATATTCAGCTGGGAGTTTGATGCCTTGAGCAATACTGAAAGATCTGCAGTCCTGCTTAAGTGACACACACACACACACACACACACACACACACACACACACACACACACACACACACACACACACACACACACACACACACACACACACACACACACACACACACACACACACGAAAATAGGACTCCCAGTAACCGTGGCAACACTTGAAACATTTGAGCATCCTCCTCAAAGTTTTTTACAAGCCAGTGACTGTTTGCGCTTAGCTGGGCTTCTACAATCTTGCGTGTAACAACTGGAGAGAACTCAAGGTTAATGTATGTGGCTCACCTAAAATGTCAGCTTTTGTAAAAAGCTACGAAATTTGAGCTTGTTAACATTCCCCCCTCTCAATTCAAGTACAGAGCCCCACTGTCCGATCCAGGGGAGTCGGGGGAGGGGACGGCAGGGAGACAGGCTAGACTAGGAGGGGGGGCATCTCCGTTCCTGACCCCATTCCTGCTTTTGTCCCAGTGACAGGGCAGATTCCTGGGCTGAGTCATTGTGGACGCAACCTGCAGCCAGACTCCAGGAGGATAATACGTCGGTTTAATCAAACAAAACTGCTCATTAACCTTCTCCAGACAGAAGTGGATCCCTGTCTGTGTCTGCCAGACAGTTAGTGTATTGATTTCCTATGATGTGATTCAAAACAGAGCTCTACATATTGTGCAAGCGCCACCAGAGAAAAGCTCGAGTCAGGGCTTCTCCTCCACCTTATTATCCCACACCCTGCTGCTCAGTACAGCCACAGATATGCTGTTGTGTTTCTTTTTTATGTGTAACAGATTCATTATTTAAGACACATGGAGCTCCTTGCTTATACCTGTGCAAAATAAAAATATTTAACCAAAGTTTGATTAATGACATACGAATCTCCTCCAAGAAAACATTCGCATTAGCACATCAGGTATTCTGGATAAAACTCTTCAGGAATTGAAACCAGATGCCAGTATTATTGCCATAATATTAAAATGGAAAAACGATTTTGGGTTTGGCTAGGTTGGTATTGTGTTGCTTGAGGTAGATACATTGAGAGAGGAGAGAAAAAACACTTTATATTCACATATTTTGTATATTTAGAGGTACTTCAAATAAAGTGCCTTTTTTTACTTTCTGAAAAACCCTTTATATTGTAATAAAGTGCTGTGTGAATTTATTTAAAAACAACATAAAACTAATTCTCTCGATGTGTGCAAAATGGAGAGAAGAGGAGATCAGAGAAGAGAAGAATTACCAGATAATGAGGATGTGTACTCGTCTTCATCGTCGTCATCATCCAGAGAAAGGACAAGCTGCTCATCAAATACCTTTCAACAAAACAGAAATCACAGAGGAAGCATGGCTCTTAAGAGAATTCAAGTATTGTTTACTTTGAGTAAACAGAGATACGATCACAGTGAAATGCAAGAACCAGGAGGAACTGAAGAGGCAAATCTATAAACATTTACAGCGACACTCACAAATATATATGTGCATGTATACTCACGTTGTCCACCAGCATGTGCTCCTTCACTCGGAGCTCCGTGCTGATGCCTGGGCAAAATACAAATGTTTAGCCAGGAGTTGATTCATGACAGGCTACAGCTCTCCTCCCGAGAGGTAATGTGCACATGGCACGGCATCAGCTCCTCTGGATGTGTCTTCACTTTCCAGGAATTAAAAAAATTTCTGTGAGATGTTGGAACAGAGCACACACTCCCCCCAGTGAGGTTGTTATTGGGAGAGGATTAATGGACGGGGCTGAAGTCGGACAGGGTTAAGGTCAATACTGAGGTACACTTCCTGCTCTGCTTTATGAGTCGATACGGGCACGTGCCATCTCTATGGTTACTAAAAACAGTGACCAGGTAGGAGAGAGCTACCCAGAGTGTGTGTGTGTGTGTGTGTGTGTGCGTGCGTGCGTGCGTGCGTGCGTGCGTGCGTGCGTGCGTGCGTGCGACAAGAACAATATGTAAGATTTGCAGTGGTGGGTAGTGATGAGTTACATTTACATTACATGTCACTTGTTAGACACTTTTATCCAAAGCGACTTACATACTCAATACTGTGGACAATCCCCACAGGAGCAACTTGGGGTGAAGTGCCTTGGCCAAGGACACAACGACATGCTGACTGCTGTGGGGTTTGAACCTGCAACCCCCTGATCCCAACACCAAGGCTCTATCCACTGCGCCACACGCCTCCTGTTACTATGTTTATGTTACATTATTAGTAATTTCATTAAAACATCTCAATCGTAAGAGTGGTTGTTTTGCAGAAATACTTTTTTCCCTTACCAACTTCTCCTTCATTTTAGGTATATATATATATATACCCATGAATAATGTTAATATCCGGTATTTTGTAGTTCTTGACTGACAAAACAAGACATTGAATTTGAGAAACTGGGACATTTTTCACTGTTTTCGGACATTTTATAGAACAAACAATTGAAAGATTAATCTAGAAAATACAGTCATCAGATTAATTGATGAATAGTTGATATTTGCAGCCCTAGCTCACACACACACACAACCAGGCAAGGATTTATTTTTCTCTGGTTTTAAGAGTTTAACAGTCATTACCTGCACATATCTCTCTCTATTTGGCACTTGAATTACACTTACAGTGCACTTCTCATTTGGTTTTTTTGAGGATCTGTTTGAAAAAATACAATAAGTTGTGTATTACACAGCATCTAATTAAGTTCATCTCTGCTTGATTAGTTTTAATGGTTGTTATTCTTGAAGATAGTTATTTCTACATGTACTTTCACTTGAGTCAATATAATTATAAAGTGACAATGGTTTTGCTTGAGTACCGTTGTGTTTACTCTACCCACCACTGAAGGTCTTAAAGGATCTTCCTGTGCGGTTAATAGCCAGCCCAAGCATGTCACCAAAGGAAGAGAAAAACAATCTGCCGCTCAAGATTTCTCTGTACTCTCTGAGGAAGAACAAACACACGTGTAGGAGGAGAGTGTGCCTTTTATGGTCTCTTTCAAGAGTGTTTTCTTAGTCTCTTTAGGTTGTGAGTGATGGATGACCATACGGTTTGCTCAACTGAATCTGTGGGGATTGTTTTCCACAAATGCACGCAGACAGAGAGCAAATATTATAAACTGTTTTTGCAAGAAGAAAACTATCATGGCGTATTACTTGGTAATCTGTTGATTATTTGATTTTCTCAGAATCAAATAATAATTTAGTGTTGATTAAAAAAAAGACGTCTGGGAAAATGTACCTAAGCCTAAGCACACGTCTTGATTTGTCCGACCGAAAACAGTTAAAAATCCAAACAACGTCAGCATTTAGAAGCTGCTTCCTAAATGAGTTAAAATACTAATTAATTTTTCAAATTAGTTGAATGTAAATTAAAGTAATGACTTGTATTTTCAGCACTACACACATCATTGAGTCTAATGTCACTGTGGACTTTGAGTGTGTTCAGGTGTACGTGTCTGGCGTTTGTTTTTCAGAGCTCGTGTTACACAGTTAACATAATGACAGCTAACATAAGGAGAACAAACACAAAGCAGGTATCTGGATTGTGCTCACCTGTCCCTCAAGTCAGATGATCACAGGCTGACACTTGATTAAATGTTCTTGCTTTAAATTAGTGTTATTGTGTACATATTCAATGTACCTTTTGTCTAAAAGTAGAAATTCTTAAAGTAGCATTGTACTTTGGATGCAGGTAGGATATGGTAAAAAGCATCTTGTGACAAACAGTCCTTAATAACCTGATTTTCAGATGAATGCAAATAAATCTAGAGTTAATAAAAAGCCACTGTAAACGGGAATGTTATACTTTATAGAGCACAGAGTTAGATTTAAATAAGCCACTTTACCTTCATCAGGAGGAAGGAACTCTTTTTTGCCCGTCTTGTCTACCTCACTGTCAGCTTTGAGCATGTTGATCTGGAAAAGAAACAGATATGTTAACAAAATTGAATGGAAAAATATACCCAAACTAATCTCCAAAACCAGCAAAAACAATATAAGACATACTGTAATGGGATCACACTAGCTGCAGCGCTAAATCCCACCTGAAGCGTAAAGAGGGGGAGGCTATTGAGGTCACAAAATATGTCCAAAGAAATACACGCCAACCGAAACACCACGCTGTTCGAAACAAGGCCATCTTTGAACTTTACCTTCATTTTTACTTCAACTACACATGTAAATGTCACGCCTCAAACTGACGGCACTTGTCTCAATAGCATGTTTTAAATTGAAGTTGTCTGAGGTCCTTACCACCAGCTGCTCTTGCAGTAATAAGTAGTACCTTTCTTACTGTTCTAATGTGCACAATGTAGTGACTGCTTTTTCATCTTTTGTTTTCTTAGTTATGCTCTCTGTATTTTTTATGTTTGTGTTATGTGTAACGTTGCTGCCTCCTTGGCCAGGTCAGCATTGCAAATGAGATTCTATATCAATGCTTTTATCTGGTTAAATAAAGGTTAAAGAAAAGAAGGTAATTTTGGAGAAATATGCTACTCAGGTTATCATAATTGCAAATTTCAATCTGTTCAATAT